AACTTCGGCTAGGAAGGTGCTACGCGGATTCCGAGCACAGATCCCGACTCGGCTCGCTCTCGCGCACCAGAAAAATGGCGAGCTGCAGGCCGCAGCTGCTTTTTTGACCGTTTTACGGACCTTCAAAGTTTGACGTTTCTCAGCTCTGAGAAACGTCAAAATTTGACGTTTCTCAGCTCAAACCTTCTCTCTGAGAAACGTCAAAACCTAAACGTTAATAACTTCGGCTAGGAAGGTGCTACGCGGATTCCGAGCACAGATCCCGACTCGGCTCGCTCTCGCGCACCAGAAAAGTGGCGAGCTGCAGGCCGCAGCTGCTTTTTTGACCGTTTTACGGCCGTTCCTTCACCCCGCCACCCTCCCACAACCAGGCGGCGCCGTACCCAGCCCGAGAGCTCCTGCCCTGGGCACGCGCTCCTCCAACACCCCCGGGGGAGCATGGAGGAAACGTACCCAGCCTGCGAGCTCCTGCCCTGGGCACTTTGTGTGGATATGTCCCAGTTTTCATCACATGTGCTGATTCTCTGACTAAGTGCTGAGACTGGGCACAGATCATGCAGCAGATCTTTTATTTCAAACAAAAAAAATACATGTTTTCATGATGGTCAAGCGACATTGGGCCTCACTGACGCCCATCTAGCCCGTCTCTGAATCACGGCTCTCCTGCCTGGGCCTCTGCGTTGGATGTCGACTGCTCGAAAAGCACTCTGATCGTTCTCGCTTGCTCAGCGGTGAGATGCATTGCGTAGAATCTGTCAGCGGTCGAGGTGTCATGACACATGAAGTTGGCCAATCTTCGGCGAACCTCAGCGCTGTGAAAGTTCTTTACCTGGGGAAAAAAAGAAAAGCGAAAATAAATAAATGTCGTTACAAAAGACCATCATGTTCACTATACTGAAACGTGAGGGTACATTAGCAGCAGGCACCGTACATGCGTAGCCACAGACGTTCTGATGTCTGTGAAGGAAGGTAATCCTGGAAGCCCCATCTCCTCCCACACCACCCGGAGATACTTGAGGAGAATCTTGCCCGGGCTGTTAGAAGTGGTGTGGAGAAACCTCCCCTCCGGCAGAGACAGAGCAGCCCGCATATTTAGCCACCGTTCAGCCCAGGAGAACTCCTCGTGGTTCAAGTAGATCTGTGCCATACCGAAGGCACCGTTTGTCTTGTGCTCCCTCACCTGGGGAAGGAGGCATGCAAAATTAGTTGGCTCACCTGCGTGCCACGCGTCGACCTAGTACCTCACTACGTACATTCACAACGAAGCCCAGAGACTCTGACTGATGACGTGCCTTGGCAGCTTCCACCTCAGACACAGCCATGCCGATAAGAACGCCAATCCGGTGACCGTAGACAGAGGCGATCAGGGCAGAAAAGTAGCCGTAGAAGCGATGCCTCAGCTCGGGGGATTTGTCGTCCTCCATCATGTCTGAGGGGGTTGAGAGAGATGGCGAGAGAGTGGTTTAAAGTTATAGAAAGAGAGGAGGATTGGGAGAAGAGATAAAAAGTCTTACCAAGCAGCTGAGGGATTCTGGAGCGGGCCAAGTCCCGGCACTTTGTTAGGGTCTGTGCTGAAATGATGCGCGACACCTTGGCATCTTTAACTGTTATTTGGTGAAGCACCACGTCTTTACGCAGCTGGCGAATGCAGTTCTTCAATGCCCTCAAGACACCGATTTGCTGGGCTCTTGACAACCTGCATGATGGTGGAGGAGTTTCTGTAAAATACTCGAGGAACTGGTACACGTTCTTGAGATGAGTGCAGGCAGTGGTGACGGTTCTCCCCTGCGACATCAGCTCGTGCGCACAACTGCAGAAAAACGTTGCCATTTTAGTCGTTTGAAAGGCATGCATGGCGACCACCACAAACCAGCTTACCTTTGAATACGCCCAACGTCATCCAGGAAGAGCCAGGTGCCCAGCTGATTACAACCAGACGCCATACGCTGGAGAAAACAACTGACCCGATTCACAGCAGACCCCACGTTCTCCCGGCGTTTGGCGCTGGGGCACCCGCCCTCCAGAAAACGCTTGTAGCTTTCCACAAAAGTGACTGGTTGAGCAGACAAAAAGCAAAAGGTTATTCACGCCCAGGCCACGTTTAGAAAGTGTCGAGGACACGACTTACCGATAGATGCAGGAAAACGAGCTTCTGGCACCTGCTCCTCACAAGCAGATGCCCCGGTCGAGTCAGGGAGGGCACACGCAGACGACGGGCCGGGCACATCCTCGTCTGAACGGGGGGACGGCGAGAAGGAGGTGGCTCCCGACACTTCATTTTCACAGTCGGCGTCCAAGCCCTCCACGGAGAGGCTGGAGGTCAGGGGAGGAGAAGGCTCCGTGTCCGCGAGAGCTTGGAGAAGCTCAATAGTCTTGGCCCTCCTCACAGCGTCAAGCATTTTACCTTTCACGGCAGTACTTAACGCTGGGTGTGCCTTGAACAGGTGTTTATCCAGGCGGCCAGAACTGTAGGAGCATGCTTCAACTGGGCATTTGCCGTTCCTCACATTTACTCGTCCAGACGCCAAGTTCAACAACAGTTTTCTCTCTTCCACATTCTTGACCGAGTGCGTTCGCTGGAGATGGTTTGACATGGCATAATAAGTCTTCAAACAAATTGGACACGTGGCAGATCCACGACGGGGCGGCATAACTCTAAGCTTCTGAAAAAGAAGAAAACACAGTCAGGATGGATGGATGGATGGATGGGTGGATGGATGGGTGGGTGGGTGGATGGATGGATGGATGGGTGGATGGATGGGTGGATGGATGGGTGGGTGGGTGGGTGGATGGATGGATGGATGGATGGATGGATGGATGGATGGATGGGTGGGTGGGTGGGTGGATCTTACCTCTGGTGAGTCGTCTGGTGTGTCTCCTTCTCGTGCAGGCCACTGACTGAGTGTCAAATCCTGCCAGCTCTGCCTCTTATACAGTCACTAATTAAATTGCTAACAGCTGTGTGAGACAAGGCCGCACCCCTGAGCAGCTGTGTGAGACAAGGCCGCACCCCTGAGCACATGTGAGGCCTAATCAGGAAGCAGCTGTGTGAGACAAGGCCGCATGTGAGGCCTAATCAGGAAGCACGTGCAAGGCTTTGTCCTTATCGGGCCACACCCCAAACATTTTGCCACAAACATGCAGTTTGCACAACGCTAAAGTAGAATTTGTGAGACAATGGCCCAACATCCCCTAACCCTCTGTTACTGCTTCTCTGACAACCCTGGATGACGTTTTACTACACTACTTGACTAACCCTAAACTTAACCAACCCTAAAACCTAACCAGGACTTGAACCCAACCCAAGACTTAACCCTTAACTTAACCAACCCAAGAACCTAACCAGGACTTGAACCTAACCCAGGACTTATGCCTAAACTTAACCAACCCTTAACTTAACCCAGGACTCAACAACCCAGGACTTAACCCTAAACTTAACCAGGACTTGAACCTAACCCAGGACTTAACCCTAAACTTAACCAGGACTTGAAACTAACCCAGGACTTAACCCTAAACTTAACCCAGGACTCAATTAACCCTAAAAAGTTAACCAACCCTAAACTTAACCAACTGTCAATTAACCCCAAATCTTAACCAACCCTAAACCTAACCAGGTGTTTAATAATCCACAAAGATAATCAACCTTAAACTCAACCTGATGTTAATATTTCATGTTTTTCTGTTGTTACCGGATTTGTCCACAAGGTGGCAGCCTTGCTCCACGCTTGAAGGTTTTGAAGCCCAGTCTGTAGCTCAGCTCCTATATGACATAAAAAAAACAAATTTTAAGGTTACAAGAACGTTTAATAAGACTCCAACATTTTTTAGTTAGTTGTTTTTAGATGGTAATGTAATTTGAAGCTAATCTTTGCTCAACTGACTCCTATTTTATTTCTATTTTTGATTTATGATTCACTTATGGGTTTATGTTGAACTTTTATATTGTACTTTGTTGCCACATGCTGCATTTTTCACATTTGAATGTTTTTAAAGAGTAAACTTGCTTTGTGTGATGCCAAGGCCCACCTGAACGTTTAAACCAAGACCTGGCCACACCCTCAATGCATGATTGGCACACAGGATTCTCTGTAAACCAATTAGGGTTCAGTTTGAATTTAAAACACACAATTTGAACTTGTCCCATATAAATAGTGGAGACTAACTGTTACAGCTTTTTTGGACAGCATTTGTACCTGATGAAGGTTGAATCAAACCGAAACGTTGTATTTGCTGTACTCTGTAAATATTGTATATAGTTATTATTAAAAGGCCACACGGCACAAAAACAAGCCACAGTTTTCATTTTTATTCATTTTTTGAATTTTGAACAACAGTCTGGAGTAGTGAGTATTTTTTAGTTAAAATGTTTGAGAACTACGAGGACCCCAGCTGGACCACTGTCAGTTACCGGAGAGGACGACGCCGCTTCAACCGTCACCACCAACCGGACGGAGGTCCCAGGAGGTCCGAATGGAGGAGTCGTGACCGTCCAACCTCCAGACCTGCACGCAGGAGCTATGCCTCAGTTACCAGGGGCCACCCCTCGGACCGCTGGACGGCCCGAGAGGACAGGGGCCGTGATGGTGACTGGCACCAGCGCCGTGGCCCCCCACAAAGAGACGGGGGCTACCACCGTCAGAGCTCCTGGCAAAACAGAAGCAGGACTCGTCGCAGAGAACCGCAGCACCGACGCTACAACCAACGGGCCACACGTCCCACCGAACCACAGCA